GACAGTGTGCCTTTCGCTCACGCCCTCCTGCCGCACTAATCGTGCGCCAATGGGAAATTGGCACAATCACAGCGATTAACCCGATCTCAAATTCTCCACTAACAGCATCATACTGGTACATAGTGGTACCTGCAAGCAAACAAAATGCATCCCCTCATTACAATGGAGGCGCAATTTCTCTGCACTACTCACGTTTACACACCTTCAATACTCTCACCTTCGCCCCTAACAGCTAAGGCATATGCAGAAACCGAAATGCAATACTTTAGTCTACCCAAGCTCATTCAGATCGGTTTTTTCAAACACCTTTTTAAATTCTTCCTGTGGGGCAAAAGAGGAACTCACATTCGTAGGCGTCCGCTTCGTTGAGAGACAGGTAGGCCAAACCGGAGGGGAGAATGTCCACTAACTTCTCCATGGTTAGAACCCAACTAGACGAAAGAATTGACGGTGTTAAAAGCAAAACATGCGCGTTAGACAAAGCAAGTTGCAAAACAAGAAGGATTATGGAACGCTGATAAGGGAAGCTTGTATGCTTCGACTGTAATTTAACTGTTATAGCTAATGACAGGTTCTCTAGGAGGAAAAAGTACCTTACTTTTCACTTAGCGCTGGTGTCCATCCGGTCTGACTAAACTGAAGGCTGGAATATGAGCCGCTGGGATTTGCCTTCGAGTTTACATTAGCATACAGATATAAAGGACAAGGTGAAGGAAGAGCCTAATAATCTATCAAGTCTATTTGAAGTCACTAGTCAGCTATAACCCAACTTCAGACAGAGGAGAGGACAGGGTCGAGTAGGGATCTGGCTGAACAGTGATATTGACGTCCCACCGACACACACTGTGCTGGTTGCCAATAGAGGTGCATAAGCGAGTTCCAGGAAGCAGTTCAGAAGAAGGAGATGCGACCACTGAAGCAAGAGTTTTATTGAGTCGAACGCGAAGTGTCAAGCCAGTACCGCACCAATTAAGACCCAATCGGTGGCTACAGAAGTGGATAATTATCGCACGCACGCAGATAATCACTATGAACTATAAATACCGTGCAACTTGTGCATTTTTCAACCCTATCTGCGCATGACTATGACTATGAG